CGGATGCTTAACCGACTGCGCCACCCAGGCGCCCCTAATTTTTAATTTTATTATTATTTTTTAAAATTTACATCCAAATTAGTTAGCCTTTAGTGCAACAGCGATTTCAGGAGTAGATTCCATGTATATGTATATATATGTACTTTGGATTACAAGCATGTTTCCAGAACGAATTATGCTTGCAAACCAAGGTTTTACTGTATTTGAAGTGATGGAAATGTTTTATATCATGATTGTGGTAACAATTACATGATTGTATACACTTGTCAAAACTCATAAAATTGTACACTTAAATATTGGTGAATTTTATTGGGTGTAAATTTTACCTCAATAAAGCTGGGTAAACAAAAAACAAAAGGAGTAACAAAGATTCCAGAAAAATAATGACTGCAGCAACACAAGTTTTGAATCATAAGATGGAGCAATCAGATAGCAAAACCAAAAACCTGTTGACAACATTTAAGCAGAACCCCAGTACCCCAGAATGTGACTATATTTGGAGGTGGGGCCTTTAAAGAGGTAATAAAATTAGAATGATGGGATTTGGGTGGCACATAATCCAAGGAGAGATGCCTCCGGAAAAGACTGGTTGACATCTTGATGTTGGACTAACAGCCTCCAGAACCAGGAGAAAATAAATTTCTATTACTTAAGCCATCCAGTCTGTTATGACATTCTAACAAACCCATACAGATAAACCCCCAAACATAAGCAAATGGGGGAAAAATAAAAAACAACACATTACCCTGTATGGTGAATCTGTGACTAAAGGAGAGGTCAAAATAAATTACTAGAATCTTATCACAGAGAGGCAAAGGAATAAAAAACAATATAGGAATTATGGGGAGAAATGCAAAAAAAAAAAAAAAAAAAAAAAAAAAAAAAAAAAAAACCAAACATTGACTATAGAAAAAAAATTTTTAATGTTTATTTATTTTTGAGAGACAGAAAGAGTGAGAGTTGGGGAGGGGCAGAGAAAGAGGGAGACACAATCCAAAGCAGGCTCTAGGCTCTGAGCTATCAGCACAGAGCCAGATGTGGGGTTTGAATTCAAGGACCATGAGATCATGACCTGAGACGAAGTTGGATACTTAACTGACTGAGCCACGCAGGTGCCCCAAACATTGACTATTTAAAATAGTAATGTCCATCAGGTTAAAAAAAAGATAATAAAAATATAAAGAACAATAATTTACACTGGGAGGTGGGTGGATAAATGTAGCTAAAGAACCCAAAGTAATTTCTATTGGTACAGGAATGAGTAAAGATGTGAACTGTTTTGGACCTTAATAGGTTTTAGTATGTATGGTATTTTCTGAGGTAATACTTAGAAAGGCTTAGAAATAGTATATAGAATTTCCAAACTAGTAGAGGTAAGAAACAAAATGGTAATTTTTTTAAATCCTGAAGAAAACCAGTTAGAAAGGAACATAGAACTGGCAAGATCAACTGAAAAGCACAAATGAGGATGGCAGATTTATAGCCAAAGAGATTAGTAATTACACCGAATAAAAATGGACCTAGTACTCTATTTGAAACACAAATAGATTGTCAGGTTAGATTAAAATATTTTATATTGTGTTTACAAAGCACATCTATAGTTTAAGGACACAAAGAGATTAAAATTAAACATGGGAAAATTACATCATGTAGACAATAAACAAGAAAGTTCATGTAACTGTACTATTAGCACACAATAGAAATTTTAAGACAGGATGCATTATTAGACATGCCTTTCTTGAAGCTCTTATAATTACCTTGTCTGAGGTAGTTATCTTGCAAGTGTTACTTTTTCATGCTCCTCTCCCCTTATATTCATACCATAAACTATAAGCAAGTTTCAGCATACTCTGAAAAGAACAATTATAAAGTCAAGCCTAAATATCAAGAACATCACCAAATTTTGACACTTTGATGAAGAATAATGTAGAGAATAAATGAAGGGATGTTTTCACCAGTGGACATAACAGTGATTCTAATAAAATGTAAAGTGAGACTATAACTTGGCTATTTGGAGTTCCTCATGACCATGGGCAGCAGACCAAAGGCTGGGGTGAGAGGAAGGGTTAATGTCTGCTGGGCTGATTGATCCTGGCTATCAAGGGATGTGAAATTTCCAAATGAAACATGAATAATACTCAAAGATTTCCTAGGGTCAACTCTTATCCCTATCATTTCCAGTTGTAAAAACAAGCAAATAAACACCCCCCCCCCCCAAACCAGAAAACCTATAAAGAAAACTATAACCAACAAAGATTCTGATCTTTAATGAAAGGTTTGGATAACTTTAACCATAAAAGCTTCCCAGTTTGCTAATTAAAAGGGAATGTGTCACAACTATTATTTACAGAAAGGAAGGCTGGAACATCTACCTAATTTATATATAGTTAGATATTATTATTACATTCCTTCTTTCCTCTTAAAAATTTTTTTTTAAGGTTTATTCATTTTTCAGAGACAGAGAGAGGCAAAGTGTGAGTGGGGGAAGGGCAGAGAGAAAGGTAGACACAGAATCTGAAGCAGGCTCTAGGCTCCCAGCAGTCAGCACAGAGCCCTTTTATGTAGGTTGTTACAACTTAGAAAAAAGGTTACAGAATGTCTACACAGGATCCTGACAGATAGAAGGTATAAACATTACCCAACACAATTTTGGTTGAATGAGGAATGGCTCATGAATAAATGAGGAATGAGTAATGTTATTTTAGATGAGGTTTTAATGTTCAGTTACAGGAAGAATGAGGTATATTGATGGGATGCCATCTTGTGAACACTGGTCATTCATTTGGCTGTACAGTATTTGTGCACCCTTGCTATGATGGTTAACACCCATCTTTAAGAAGCCGAGGCTGATTCTCACTAAACTGAAAATGCATCTTAGTCTCTCCAGCAGCTAATGTACAAGGATGGAACATAGGCTTCAGCACTCCAACACACCCATCTCAGGGGTGCCTGGGTGGCTTCATCAGTTAAGCAACCAACTTCAGCTAGGGACATGATCTCATGGTTCGTGAGTTTGAGCCCTGTGACGGGCTCTGTGCTGACAGCTCAGAGCCTGGAGCCTGCTTCAGATTCTGTGTCTCCCTCTCACTACCCCCCCCCCCCCCCCCCCCCCCCCCCCGCCCCCCACTTGTGCTCTGTTGCTCTCTCGAAAATAAACGAAAAACAAAAAACACCTATCTCAGAACAGCAAGGTGATGATATAAAGGAACAAGGATGGGAGATTCCATCTGGGTGATGGGTAACCCCATGTACACAGGTGGCACTAGCAGGAACATCCAGAGTCCATGTTGTCAGTAGTGTAAGCTGGCAATTCTGTCCAGCAGCAGCAGCAGCAGCAGCAGCAGCAGCAGCAGCAGCAGCAGCAGCAGCAGGAATGACCTCACGAGTTCTGTGTCATCATGTGCAGCAATGTTCTTGGTTCTGTATCTTTGTTCCTTAGCACTCTAAGATTTTCTATGAGCCACTCAATATTCTTTGAATGAATTTCTTATCTACTCCAATTTTAAAAAGGTAGAACATATGGACTGTAACCATTGTGTTTCCATTAAAATTAGAAATAAAACAAAGATGGCTACAGTAGAAACTTCTGTGGGTGATAATTAATTTTCTACACTTGATTTCTGGACTAACTGAGAAACAGACTTTTTGTTAGGGATGCTTTACTGAAAGAGGCAGCTTGAAACTGCACATCCTAATACTTCATTTAAACTTAGGTATTGGGAGACATAACAAGCAGAGGACTGGGCCTGTAGAGTAGTTACAGAGAATCATAGTCTGACCAGGGAACATGAGAAATTCAGGGTCAAATGGGGGGGGGGGGGGGGATATTCATGTGTTTTAACACATTTCACCAAAGCAATAAATCATTTCTCTTATGACACACAAATAAGAGTGGAGATGAAAACAACAAACAGAAATTAATCTGAAAAAACCAACCCTTCAGTCTGTTAAAATGGGGAAAATACAGTGAAAAAAAAAATTCTTGCCCAACAGCCACTGTCCTCATGTCTACAACATGAAAAAAGGTGAAATAGGTATACTGAGATATCCCTTTATATGCAGATTATCAAAGATCAAAAGAATCTATCATTTTATAATCAATACCTAATAAAAGATACTAAATTTCAGATTATTACTAGCATATTTTAAGTATTGTGAAACATTACATCATGAAGATATTAGAGTGTAAAGAGATAAAAAGTTGTCAAAGACATTTTGAGACATACCTGTATTAATGAATATCCATTCAAAGTCAATTCAATGTGAATTCATTTTGAAATACTCTATTTAAATTGAATAAAATTTAAAATATAACCCTTATTAGTTTTTTTATTGGAACCGGATAAAATAATTTAAAATCTAATAAGCATTTGTTTTTGTTTTTTTTCATTAAAAAAATTTTTTTTTAAGTTTACTTATTTTGAGAGAGAGAGAGAAGCAAGCATGGTAGGGGCAGAGACAGAGAGAATCCCAAGCAGGCTCTGCACTGTCAGCGCAGAGCCCAATGCGGGACTCCAACACAAACTGCGAGGTCATGACCTGATTTGAAGTCGGACACTCAACCGACTGAGCCACCCAGGTGCCCCCTTTTTTTCTTAAATGTTTAACGTTTATTTAATTTTGAGAGAGAGAGAGACAGAGGGTGAGCGGGGGAAGGGACAGAGAGACAGGGAGACACAGAATCCAAAGCAGGCTCCAGGCTCTGAGTTGTCAGCACAGAGCCTGATGCAGGGCTTGAACTCACCAACCGCGAGATCATGACCTGAGCTGAAGTTGGACGTTTAACCGACTGAGCCACTCAGGCACCCTGTCTTTATTTCTAAGTAAAAATTATATATTAACAATATACATATCTCTATTTCCAAGTAATAAGTTACTAAAAAGTATAAGTCAAAGATTGCTGGAGAATAGAGCACAGAAATAGATTTGAGAATATGAGCATTTAATATATGAGTATTTTAATACAGTAGGAGAAAAATGAATATTTCAATTATTGGTTCTGGCATAATTGGTCTTATTTCTGAATGGAAACAAAACCAACATCCTGTATTACACCATATACAATAATGAATCCCAGATGGATTAAAATGGTAGAGTCTGTGTGTGTATACACACCCACGTATGTGAAAAACTGTACACTCTGTCCCTTTATCCTCGTCCCTCTGAAAGTTTCTATAAGCAATACCTTCCTAAGAAACAGAAAACATTGGAAATGGTTTGGAAAACCTATTTTACAGAAATAAAATAGACAAAAGTATAAAATGTTTATTGAAGCATTACTTTTATTATTTTTTTAAAGTTTTTTAAAGTTTATTTTGAGGGGCGCCTGGGTGGCTCAGTCAGTTAAGTGTCTGACTCTTGGTTTCAGCTCAGTTCATGATCTCATGGTTCATGGGTTCGAGCCCCACATTGGGCTCCATGCTGTCAGTTCAGAGCCTGCTTGGGAGCCTCTCTCTCCCTCTCTCTCTGGCCCTCCCTGCTTGTACTCTCTCAAAATAAATAAACTTAAAAAAAAAAAAGTTTGAGAGAGAGCGCACATGCAGGGGAGGGCCAGAGAGAGAGAGAGAGAGAATGAATCCCAAGCAGGATCCACGCTGTCAGTGTAGAGACTGACTCAGGGCTCAAACTCACAAACCATGAGATCATGACCTGAGCCAAAAACAAGAGTCAGACGCTTAACCGACTGAGCCATCCAGGTGCCCTGAATGAAGCACTACTTTCAAACAGCAGAGAGGAAACAGTCTGAAATATTGCATGAATAGTTGAGTTGGTATTGGTACAAACATACTTGGGTATAAAATATACTGTAACCATTTAAAAAAATAAGTTAGGGGCGCCTGGGTGGCGCAGTCGGTTAAGCGTCCGACTTCAGCCAGGTCACGATCTCGCGGTCCGTGAGTTCGAGCCCCGCGTCAGGCTCTGGGCTGATGGCTCGGAGCCTGGAGCCTGTTTCCGATTCTGTGTCTCCCTCTCTCGCTGCCCCTCCCCCGTTCATGCTCTGTCTCTCTCTGTCCCAAAAATAAATAAACGTTGAAAAAAAAAATTTTTTTTTT